TTTGCACGAAGAAGACAGGAGAATTGTTTTTTTTTTTTTTCTTTTTTGTGTTGGGTAACAACAACTCAACTCTCTCTCTCTCTCTCTCTATATATATATATATATATATATATATATATATATATATATATATCCTGGAATATTCACGGTGATAGATAAATATTATGTTTAACGTCTTGGCTTTGTAGGAAGATCCAACACACAATCAGGTAAAAGAGAGGTAGCATTCATTAGAGCACTTGAGTTTTATGTGGAAACCCCTCAATAGGGGAAAACCATGGGGCTTGGCCCAGTTTGAATGAATCTACTAGTGTTTGCAGTCAATTACAAATGAGGCCTTTCTTTGAGGGAAGGTCTTGGTTTAATGCAACAAATATGCATCATATAAGTGCATTATATGGTGGGAATTGGAAGAATCAGTATTGACATGTTGGTTTAGTCACTGGACTTTAGTCTGCAAGTGAAGGAGGTCGTAAAAACCGTACTTGGGTGATAGTGGTCGGAAGGACCGTAGTCGGCGGGAGATGGATGTCGGAAGGATCATAGTCGACGTGTGATGTAGGTCAGAAAGGCCGTAGTCTTGCGACAGAGGTCGGAAGGACTGTTGTCTGCTATGGATAGTCCCCAAAGGCCAATTTACCATTTAGTTGTAGAGTCTCATGTTACTTCAATTTTGTCCCTTGATTATATAAAATTGATCCAAAATAGTCCCATATATTATAATTCTGATAGAATATTAATCCCAATTTAATGCCTTGACCATTCACTTGGCGTCTATGGAATATCTTTATGTTTCTTACGGTAATGATGTGGCATATTTGGATGGCTTGGAGCTCTCAAGCAACCGCAGCTGCAGTTACCATGGGAATTCATGTGTAGCTATTAATAGGAAGCTTTGGCACTTGGTCTTGTTTCATGGATTCCACTATAATCTGAGCCATATTCTTTGAACTCTTCTTCTTATTCGTCCCTTATTTTTCCGTTGGTGGAAGATACAATGTTGATTTTCCTGCTCAACGAGTATCCTCTCACTTTATATGTGCATGCATAATTGCCTGCATAAATCAGATTTGCAAGGCTGGGTTTCATTTTATTTAAATATTTCTTTCATCATTCATTGGAAATTTTTATTGCACTGATCCGATGCAGGAATTTTGCTGGCAAATGTGGATTCTCTCGAGAAGACAGAACATATTTGAGCCTAAGTTGCAAAACAAGGAATGAGTTTTATTTGAAGACTTTTATGAACCTTTCCAGCTTCAGATCAAATTTTTGGGACATGGTCTGTCTTTTTTATGCAGCAGCGTGCAAGGCGATCGAGGTACTGTTTCTTAAGTATTTTTTTAGTACAAAAATTTTAATTTTTGTTTAAAAATATTGTTTTAAGAAGCAGTGAGAAAGGCGTCTAAAACGTAGCCTTAATTTAGTTTGTTGCACCTCAATAGTGAAATTCCCTAGTCGTCCATATTGTAAACTCTGAGGTCATCCATGTAGTAAATTCATCGTGCGGCGCTTGGCAACAGTAAAGCTAAAGGTTTTATTTGGGACGACTTTTTTATTGCTTCTTAAAACAACTTTTTTGTAAAAAAATAATTTTTTTTTACTAAAATTTCACTTTAAAAGCATTAAAAAAAGCCATTCCAAATGAATCCAAAGATGAACTAGAAACCACCATGTAGGCAACTTCAATGGCAATGACACTGAATTAGAAGCTGCAAAAGGTAAACTCTGTGGTCATCCATATATTAAGCTATGGTTGTCTCTTTTGCTTTCAGCAAAATTTAACTTAAATTTAACTAGGATTTAATTCAAGTATTATTTCTAGGTTTCTCCCTTGTGAATTAAAGCTTACTTTTGCGGCTTCGTTGATTCGCGTGGTTAGAGCTTTGAACGAACGAGTCGCTTGCCATGGCATGTTTAGGGTTTGCTTTTCCTCTACTGCATTTATTCGTTGTAGTTCTGCTTTGCACGTGAAGTAGAGTTCTGAAAGAGTCTTTCGAAACTTCTCCGCCTCGTCCTTCGATGTTGTCACTGTCGGATCGAAGGTCGCGTTGGGAGCTTGCCACGAAGGTAACGGTATTTCTACCTTTTGCACGCATCTTCGGTCGGATTTACGTATTCGTAAAATGTTGGATTTACGAAATTCGGGATTTAGGGGAAAATGTTATGAAATAGAAATTAGACTTACCGCGAGATTTAACTTCGTATTTTTTGTCATTTGGCAGGATTGAGCTCAAATCTTGCCTAAATTTGGCCTAAATCCTGCATCCAAACGGGCCCTTCAATTCTGCTCAGATGTTTCTACTAAACATCCCCTCGCTGAGGAATTTCGTCAGAAATCCTTGACTTAATATATTCGTCCCTTCAAAAACGTCCATGACTAAAATTCTTCATCAGTCTGGTTAGCGGTGAAATTGATTTTCTCTTTTGATATCTCTCTCTCTCTCTCTCCCCCTGTCTCCGTCTCTTTGTGCTACTCTGAAACCACCCCTCCAGTTATCTTGGTAATCACACAATGCAATTATGCCAGAATGATCAATTCTGCATAGTTTCTTATATGCTTTGCATCTGCATGTCAGATAAAGAAGTATTTACTTTACCATTCTTTAGTTCTATTGTTTCAGTGTTTGTTACCGATCATTAATTATCAGTGCTTATTCTGTAACTTTCTTATCCTCATTATATTAAAAGAGCAGTGCTTATCCTTATCTTGCATCTTTGAGCTTACCTTTTTAAATGATTGAGGTTTAAAGTAATTTTAACTAATAAAATTTGATATTGGGAGCTTGGTAGGGACGAAGAATTCTAAATCTCAATCATTCAAAAAAATGGATGAATGGTATTAAGATGTGTGAGGATCGAGCTACTATTATTGTAAAATGGATAACAATCTAACCGTTTCTCTTGGTGAGTGTTGTTATTCTTTTAAAAGATAATAGTCCATTGCTTATATAATTTGAGGGCTTCAGTTTCATTATGGGGTAGTTTGGTTGAGAGAAAAATGAAGGTACCATAAAAGGAAATAAGTGCTTTTTCACTTTTTGATATTTGGTTGGACAAAGTTTTAAGTAAATTAAATTCGTAAGGTATTAGGAGCTCTCGATGTAGTTCATTTTGCGCGTAAAGTAAAATTGCTTATTTTGAGCAAAAAAGGAAATCACTCGGGCGTGAGTAAAGCTCGCGAGAACCATCTTCGTTCCCTTCGATGACATTTGCTGCTTTGTGTGAGGACTAGTAGCTTCTTCGGCTCCCTTCATTGCTATACGACTTCACTCCTTTGACAATGTTCCCTTCTTGTTGGATCGAAAAACACAGCATCTTCGAACGAAGTTCGATTACATTATTGTTCGACTTTGCTGCCGTTCGATTAGGTTAGTGGGCGTCTAGATTTTGTTTTTCATCTTCTCTATTTCATCGTTGTTGTTCGACGTTGTTGCGTGGATGTTCGACTTCGTTGTTCCTTCGATGATATTTTAAAATTCATGTACAATGATCTGAAGAAAGCTACTCTATTTTTATTTTTTCATGGATCCCGTTGTCAATTGAGCTACTTGTTCTTGGTCTTTCTTCATCTGCTCTTCTTTTTGGAATATTATCTTTCTTATAATGAGCAGTGTGTAGTGTGGTCGGCTGCTGCAGATGTATAGTGCAGTGTATGGTTATCTTGAAATTGTTGCTATCATTTTTTTCTTATTTATAGCTTGAACTGAGCTAATGGGAGAAAGCATTTTCTCTTTGTATGTGATGGATTTTCTTTTTTTGAACAGGGAATTCACCCGTTTTCATTTTCAAAAGGGTGCTTGACAATGTGACTAATTTTCAGCTGACCTAGAAGAGGCACTCACCTTAAAAATCTTTTGGCCCGCACTTGATTGGGCCTTTCTTAAGAGGCGCTGCTGCTTGAAGGGAATAAAGCATGGGTTGGGGGTTCTAAACCGTTCTCGCTCATCAACCAAACTAAACAATGATGGATATGTGATTGATTTTAACAAAACTAGACATGAGGCAATAACCATGGTAATTCAATAAGATTCAAGTTCCTATCTCTATGTACGAAAAAAAAAAATGTTCATGGGTTTAATTTGCAAAATACATTCGAATATCAGATTTTATTTGCATCCAATTAAGAATTTATGTACTTTTGAAATATACATCAATTGAAGCATGCACTGCAAATTTTTTCAGAAGAAATTTTTTTCTAAATGAGTGGTATAGGTGTTGTATGAAAGAAGCACTGTATTCACATAATTTAGGCTTCATTTGTGATTAATATAAATTTTGTTTTGGAATAAGAAATGAGAAAGTTGTTTCAAATGAAGATTAAATTTTTTATTATTTTTAGAAAATTTGCTTACTATAAAATTTTTTAACTAAAAATTTGTTATAAAAAAATTATTTCAAAAAAAGTCAATTTATTTGCATTTGAAATTCAGCAAATCAAACATAACAAAAATATTTGAATATATTTTAGCTTGAATTTTTTTAAAAATAATCAGCTAAATAACATTTAGGTCCATTAAGACAAACTAAGAAGATTTGAATTAAAAATATTTTGATTGATAGTAAAAATTCTCAACGAATAGATCAAGATGGGTGGTGAGAACAATTATTAAGTCCTACGTCCGGTCGAAGCTAAAATCACGTCAAAAAACGAGAAATACCAAACAATAACAAGGAATACCATCATGTGAAAACCTAATACCGAGTTATACCGAGCTATACCGAGCAATACCAAGTTATACAAAAAAATATAGAGTAATTCGGTATATTTTTGTATAATTCGGTATAGCTCGGTATAACTCGGTATTTGTCTTAACAGAGGGGTATTCATCGTTATTACCAAATAATACCTATCAATACTGAGCAAATATCGAAATTTTTAGCGGGATTTTAGTGCCAACCAGACGTTTCTCTACGTCTGGTCGGAGGACCTAATAATTGTTCGGTGAGCTGTGTGAAGTGAAAGTAATAGAAACACTAAGAAATGACAACATATCAAAAGTATGAGAAAAAAAAATCTCCGGAACTCAATCCAAAGACAATGAATGGAGATTAACCATATGGGATACTATCCCATTTCCAATAACACACATTTCTTCATGCAATGAATCTGGCAAATCTTACAATCTTTTGAAAGCTCTACAAGGACAAACACTCGTTCCAGGAGCCTATAAATTACTAGAAGCTGGAAACACAGTACAAGTACCTGGATGAGTATGAAGAAGCTTGGTGTAAAAATGTTTATTCCATGCAAATTTCAAGCCAAACACATTGAATCAATATAAAAAATAAGGAAGATCATCCCAAAACAAAACTAAAAAAAAAAAAAATTCAGCTAGCATCTTCGTTTGAGACAGTTTTCTTACTGCTTTATAAAGCAACTTTTAACATAAAAATCTCTAGTTCAAAAAAATTTTATATTAAAAAGTTGATTTATAAAACCATAAGAAAGCTATCTCAAATGAAGCCTAAATACAATGAAAATTAATAAGAAATGGGTTGAAAATCAAAATGTACCTCTATTTTGTAATGAAGAAGAAGCTGAAATGGTGGCAAATGGTGATGTGCCTTTGATGAATGTCAGAAGAGTCTTTTTTTTCCATGCAAATTTCAAGTTAATGGTCTCCACATTGTTTTCTGCACGCAAATAATACCCTCCTTGTCCCGTGTAAATGTCATAGTAATATCCCAGTGCAAGGTTTTAAAGATTTTCTCTATAGGATTCAAGATCTCTGATTTGTCGCGGATAATGACCCATCCTCCAGGTCTTAGTATTCTATCCATCTCAACTAGAATGGCAATGGGTTCTTTACACCTGTTAAAAGAAAACCAGGAGAAACTATTCAGAGGCCACAACTTTCTTGTTGCTTCTTAAAGCAGCTTTCTAGCACAACTTTCTTGTTGCTTCTTAAAGCAGTTTTTTGTACTAGAAAGCTGCTTTAAGAAGCAACAAAAAAATCATCCCAAACAAAGTCTTAATTTTATACTAAAAAAATGCTTTAAGAAGCAGTAAGAAAACCGTTCCAAACGAAGTCTAAGTTGATAATTTAAGATAAACCTTCAAAAAAGTTATACAACACACCTGTTCTTGAGACGGGAAAACAAATGATCTGCATGCAAAAGATCATAAGATCTTGGATAGGTACTGAAAGGTTCACACCAGTCATGGAAGATACCAAGAAGACCGCGCTCAAAAATGATAGGAAGAGTGTTTGGAGCATGTACAGGAACTACATTCATAACCCAAACCTTCTGAGGTGCTAGAGCTGCCGCAAATCTGAGAGAATTACAAAAAAAAAAAGACAGTAATGGTACTAGAAAGCTGCTTTAAAAAGCTGCTTTAAGAAGCAGTAATAAAACTGTCCCAAACGAAGCCTAAGTTTAAAAGGAATGGTTAAGCCTACACACCCGCCATAGATGGCTTTCATGTCCATCACATTACGTATCTTTGACCAATCAATACCAAGACCAACAAGATATGATCTACTGATGATAGCCTTCCAATGCTCATTATCAGCAATTATTTTTTCCTGCAAATCACCAAGCCATTCAGGGAAAGTTTCAAGCCTGTTTGGCCACTCCTCAGGCCAGTCAGTACCTCGCTCCTCTATGGCAGCAGGAAGCTTATGCAGGCATGTTTTTATTGGAGCATACCTACATGACAAGTTAAAGGTGCTGATCAAGCTTAAACGCAAGCAACTGGAATAGAACAAATGCCTTGGGAAGGTAAATATCTGGTGGTGGCTGAGAAGTGAGCAAGGAAGTTGGAGCCTTTAGGGTTTGGTATAGAGAGGTGAGGTTTAGTTTAAGTTATAAGGCTTATGAAGGCCTAGTATGGGATGTTGGGAAGTAGTTTGGAAAGGTTCTGGGGTTTATGGTTGGGTGTGGTGGTGAAGAAATTATTTTGTGCGGATGCCAAACGTAGTTTACCGTTCGGAGACCAATCAGAATGTGTCACGTCAGCAATACCGAGTTGGGTACCGAGCAGGGGTGACATGGCGCATTCTGGTTGGTCTCCGGACAGCGTTCAGCGTCCGCACAGAATAATTTCTCATGTTGTGTAAAGATGAAGAAATGGAGAGTAGATGAGTTGGGCTGATTTGAGTGGGGCTTACATAGGATGGAATTCCTTTGCACAGAGGGTATTACACCACTATTACACTTGATAAAATGAAAACATAATATTGAAAACTAATAATGACATAATATGATATCATAATAATATAATGTAATATCACAGATGTAATAATTGTTGTAATTTTAATAAATTTGTAGAAGAGGCCAACCATCCAACCACACAATTTCATTCCATTATTCATTATCTTCCATTATTTTCACAGTTTTGCATTGCATCAATTCCCTCTACTTTAAAAACAATTTGATCAAGAGTTGAAGTCCTAAGAGGATGCACAAATGGAGGGAGAGGTTCAATATGCACAAAAACAATATCTTCTACTGTGAAGATGTTAGCTTAAAAATCTTCATAAATTTCATTTATGATTACTGAGTTAATAAAAACATAAGGATCTTTAATAGAAGACATACATTCACAAGATTTTTGTTCTGGAGTAGGAATAGCAAGAGGAGTTTCGAAAAATACTTTCACTGGTTCAAATGTAGGATTTTCTTCAGGTGAATCATAAGAGATTGTAAATAAAATATAAGATTCTTATGTAAAAGTTTCAATTGATTGTGATCTCTAGTGGAGGAGGTCAACCATCATGTTGTAAAAGATTGTAGGAGATTATTATGAATCATAAGGGATTGTAAATCATAAGAGATTGTAAAATTATAATAGATATTTAAATTTTAATAAACTCGTGGAGGAGGCCAACCATGTAGCCATACCATTTTATTTCATTCTTCATTGCCTTCGATTAATACCACAATCTTGTACTGCATCATTCCTACAATTAATAAATAGAACAGCATTGCTGATTAAACAGCATGGTCTTCCATGAAAAATAAACTCTTTCCCACTTACCAAGCAAAGTCTTGGTTTTCACCATCCTTGCAGAATGGCGGTTCATTTCTCCTTCTCAAGTCATATATCTCATTTGATGCTGGTCTCTGATATAACTTGACACCTAGTTCACTGATTTCATCAGTCTTATGAGCCAGCACGTTCCAACAAATCGATGCGGTCAATGATGACATGCCTGGAAGAATAACAAAAAAAAAAAAAAAAAAGGAAGAAAAAAAAAAAAAAAAAAAAAAAAAGATAAAGTGAACATTTTCTTTATTAGAATGAGTTTTTTTTCTCAAACTGAGAAGAAAACCAACAAAAAAGACACTCCAAATATTTCACTCTTAATTTGCGAGAATATTTCACTCTTAATTTACGAGAAGATGATCTGGTTCTAGGTTTCTCATGGTCACAAATCTATATGTTTAATTACCCCTCCTAGTGACGAGAAAGAACTTTAAATTAAGATGATCTCGCAATTCCTAGACGAGCGATAAGGACTTCTTCTTGCAATTCAAGGTAATAGCTAGAGAGAGGAGAATGATCGAAACCCCTTACTTGTGTGTGACCTAGGTGAACCAAGAAGAATGATCATAAGCTTCTTCTTGCAAAATTCTTTCATGTGACCAAGGATTAGAGATTCGGTTGGTTAGTGTTTTTCTTCTTCTTTCTATTTCTATAAGATATAATTAGTTGATTTTGTTCCTGACATCTTTAAATGAATAAATTTGTTTTACTTTTGAAGATTAACCTAGATCTAAAGCATGCTAGGGTTGTGTAATTTGATTATGCATCTTAATTAAAGCCTAGCCCTCTCTTTCCCCCCATGGATGTAGGCACAAACGTGCCGAAACATGTAAATATGTGTTCTTTGTCTTTGGTGGCTGATCTTATGGTTCTTGCATTTATCTTATATATTTTTAATTTTGCAAGATTCTTGATTAAAGATTTATAAACTTGATTACTGTTTTGGACAAATAAGCTTCCTCTCATTATTGCAAGACATTCTTGTCTAGTTAATCAAATACCTCGTTATTATTAGGCTTGATTGGTTGCAAGCATATATTAGTCATACGTTGTGCATAGTTTAGTGAAAAGGATGTCACTAATTAATTTGTAAAATTAATTAGTCTGTTGATTCACTATTACAATCAAATGTTTAATTAACAAAATCAAGACTTCACTAAGGCAAAATTTAACTTATTTTAATTGTAGGAAAGTTTATTTGGCAAATTTAAATCTATTCATTTCATCTAAGTGGTTTGCGGGTGCATAGTCAAGGAACTTGAAATAACATTTCTACAAAACCTAAACCCTTATCTAAAAAACTTAGTTTCAATCATGCGCCAGTGCTTTTCCACTCATAAGATCTCTTTTTTTTTTATGAGATGATAGGTAAAAGCTAATTTAGGTGTGAAATGATCCTGAGTTCGGACCCACCAAATTTTAAAATATCAAAACTAGATTTGGCCCAATTCTTATCTATGATTTTCAAGAATTTCATTTGACTCTGAGATTGATGTTGACAGACATTAGGCTTCACATCTAACAAGTAGTCCAATGGTTGAATCATGTACCACCTGAGGCAATCAAATGGCATGCTATGCAAAGCAACTCTCTGTTGGACCGGTCCAGCCAGTCCATACAGGACCGGCTTGCAAAACAGAGGCGGAATCTCCGCCTCTTGCAGATGCCGCACGATCTGAATGCCCAGACAGAGCTGTTTAGGAAAGATTTTTAAGGGATTTGGGAGGGAAATTTGAATGTATGGAGTGTTTAGAGATTTCCTTTTGAATTGTATGCACTAAATAGTTTGTTTTTCTAGTGTTAGAGCATCTTGAATTTGGCTGAAATTTTAGATCTCTTGGGTTTCTTTTGGGCTCTAGCAGCATCGAGAGATTTGGGAGAGATAGATCCTCCTCTCGAATCGAGGATCAATTGTATCTTGGTATTTTCCATTTCTATTTCATTAAATAATACAAATTATCTACTGTTTTCATGATTATGTGGGGATTCTTGCGGAGAATTTTTGCTATTTTCTCAAGATAGATAAGAAATTCTTGAGATCTTCAAGTGTTTCCTATCACTCTCAAACCCAATCTGAAAAAAATATATACAAACTAATATTGAAGGCAAACCATAAGCGTACCCACTTCACTTTCAGCATCTCCATGTGAAGATGACATGATAAAGTATCCTCCTGGACGTAGTATCCTATTCATCTCCAGAAGGAGCCTCCCACCTGCATGATAAAGCAAAAAAGCATCTAAATTAAAGAAAAAAAATGGTTGTTTTTATATTAACAAGTTTCTGTCTGGTTACCAACCATTAGAATGCCAATGTACATTGCACCCACTGCAATGAATGGCATCAAAAATGCCACCAGGAAAAGGAAGTCGCCGAATACCTAGATTTCCGACCACCGCAGGTATGCCACGTTCCAATAGAACTTGAGCCAAGTCTGTCTGATCATTCATCATACCTAAAGAAAGAGTTAAAACATCCTTCTCAAGAAGAGTGCCCACAAAGCTACCATCACTACATCCAATGTCCAATAAAATGCGGATGTTCTTCCCCCATTCAATGTCAGGTACCATCTAGTCAAGCAAGACAAGAACCAGAACACAAGGAGAGGTCTTTCAATATCCACGGAATAGATATAATATTCACTTCATGATCTAACTAAAACCACAAATAGCAATGAATTCTGAATCAGCTGACCCACAATGAAAGCTAAATAGATATACATAAAGTTGTATGTAGACGCATTTGCATTTTCAGCCATTAATAAATAATGATAACTGCTCAAAACTTCAAACCAACAAAAATAAAAAAATAAAGAAATGAATGTTTCGTTTGGGACGACTTTTTTGCTGCTTCTTAAAATAACTTTTTAATAAAAAAATTACTAGAAAGCTACTTTAAAAAGCAAGAAGAAAGCCGTCCCAAACGAAGCTAAAGTTGCATCACATAAGCTGATGTAGATGAAAATGCATTAACAGCAATAATAAACAATAATAACTGCTCAAATGTTCAAACCAACAAAAAAAAAAAATCAAAAGATGAAGTTGCATAAAAAAAAAACTAAATTCTCTGATAGTCTATCATTAGATTAATTTATTTAAGTTTATGCAAGAATGTTTAAGAAGCACGAAAGCATAAACAATTGTCAATTCATTCAATATCGAGTTAAATGTTTATACAATCTTTTATCCATAAATAGCTAAAGCAGAATCATCCCTCACATTCATGCTACCAATTAATTCTTCCAAGTTCCTCAAATTTAGGAAGCAATGGAGTTTTACTGCCCTGATAATAACATTAAACTTTGACATGTTTATGTGCCAATTTGCCCTCTTAACAATAATGTAGGACACAGAAAGTTTAGCAGAAGCTAAAAAATTATTAGATCTCAGGAAGAAAAAAAATTACTCCTGTCTCTATGATCTCAATGCATCAATCATATTACTTTAGTCTAATCCCACCCATCATTTAGCTTTAATAATCTAAACTAGAAAAGGGAATTTATGTAACATATGTAGGAAGTTAATACATCAATGCGAAACAAGCATGTTATAGTTAATTTAATATGGATTGCAATAGCTAAATAGCCTAAGCAGAATCATCCCTCACTTTATGTCACCAATTACTTTATCTCCTTCTTAGGTTTGGGAAGAAATGCAGTTTAACTGCCCCTTTTGGGGCTGTTTGGTAGCCGGATTTAGGCCGGATTGAGGCGGATTTGAGCGAAATCTAGCCAAACGGCCTAAAATGCAAAACCAAATCTCACAGAAAATGAAAGCCACCATAGAGGGAAAATTTTGCCTTTTCGTACTAAATCCCGGATTTCCGAAATCATGCTTTTTGCCGGATTTACGAAATCCATTGGTTGGAGAGGAAGAGTCTGCTCATTAAATCCGTTCTATAGACAAACAGTGACATGGGATTTAATAGGATTTATCATGAATGTTACCAAACAGTTTTTAGGATTTAGGCTCCACAGGATTTCCGAAATCCGGATTTAGCGGATTTACGAAATCCTACTTAAATCAAATCCTAGGTGATACCAAACAGCCCCTTTATATTGATAATGACATATGACTGCTAATGCCACAGAACAAATAAGAATTAATTTCTTCCAGAAACAACTAGTAAGCAATAACTCGTCAAGCAACTATGAAATATCCTCACCTCTTCAATCGAATCAAGATAGTGCTGAACTCCACCCTTAAACTCAGATTCCTGGGAAGGAAACGTCAAATATTCCCCAGACACCTTCACCCAATTCTTCGTCTTCACGAAAGCAGAAAGCTTTGGATGAGCTACATTCCCAAAAAGCACCTGCAGCGACAAACCATACCAAAAATCACAACTTTCACAAACTCAAACCCCTAAATACCAAAATCAGACTGCGAAAGTCAATAAAAACTCAACACCTTGGATTTACTCTCTGGCCATGGCACCAAAGCCGAATACCCCCTTGGTAGAGGCACCAAACACGTCACCGCGCCATTAGGGCAGCTCCTTTCATGGTGCCTCCTTCCTCCCGCTCCTTCCATATCAATGCAAGGCATGTAGTTATGCTTGTTTCTACCACCGCATAGCTTCCACTCATACCTGGCTTTCGGATCAAACAAAGGCCCCGAATTCTTCTTCTTACTCTTCTTCTTATCAGTATTGCTTTCATTCTCCTCACCAGATGTATCCCCTTGCGACGATTGATTCTCCTCTTCTGGATTCACATCCACTCCGTCTTCGACGTCGATCTCTATCTCCTCTTCACCCTCAGCATCAGCATGCGCCTCGTCGGGATTCGCCTTGGCATCAGGTTTTTGTTCGACCACTCGCTTCTTCTCCTCCTTCCGAAGCGAAGACTCGCTCTCATTCCTGCTAGAGCTCGGCTTCACCGTTACGGGAGGGGGAAGTTTGGAAGCTATGGACTGAGTTGGCGCTGAAGGGTTCCCTTGGATGTTGTCGAAGCTGTCTCGGCCAGTGGAGATTGAGGCAGAGGGTGAGGAGAAGATAGACCAGACGATGACGAATGACAGACCTAAGAAGCTCGCAAGCAATACTTTCCAGCAAAAGCTAAGTGGAGCCCGAGGTTTCGCGTTTCGGCCGAATCGAGCTCCGGCCATCGCGAGCAACCAGAGTTAGTGCCGCAGAGTGTAAAAGGAAGCGGATCCAGGCGAAGAAAAAGAGACGCGGCAGCTGAATCCAGCGAGGATGACCAAAAGTTCGATTTTTTTTTTTAATTTTTTAAGGAGGTTAGGAGGGCCATGATTTCAAAGAGTCAATGAACAACGAAGATTTTTCACAGGTCAGTCAGTCGCCACCAATAATTTTATACAAATGACTCGGTCATGAAGAACATTATGCTTGACTCCGCCACCTGGTTTGTAACTGTTGGAGTTCACACACGCGATTCGTCCGGACTCTATGTAGTAATTTTTTTTTAGAGTTATAGAGAAGAATCTCAACCAATTTCCCTTTGTTATCTGGGGGGCAATTGCCCCTCTAAAAAAAAGTCAAAATACTAATTATTTGAGGTTTATTTGGTAATTTGACCTCTCATGCGCTAAGTAATTTAGTAATATACTGAGCACGTGATATAGAATGTTTAAATAGTATGTGTACATTTTTATATAATTTTACTACATTGATTTGATTTTATAGGATTATGTAGACATAATTAATTTATAGATTTGACACTCGTATTTGTTTACTGGCTTCCTTATTGTAGTATTTTACTGTTTATAGGTTATACTATTGTTGTATGTGAATTTTTCTTTTCTGCACATGATTCAATGATCAAATGGATGCAACTACTATGATTTGACTATTGACATGAATATTGCTCTTTTGTTGTGCTTTGAATTCAGATATAAGTTTTGGTGGCCATCAATGTTTCATTACCTGCAATCACCATCGAACTGTCACCACCTAGCCAATGTCGTCAAACTTTTCATTGATTATGGTCCGTAAATCCCTGTCACCTGTTGACTATAGCCCTTTGACCCTATCTCTCGACTACGGTCCTCCAACCACAATTGTCTAACTACATTCCTTATTCCCCCATTGTACTGAAGATTACAATCCTTCATGCCACTATTACTTACCAACAATAGTCTTCATTCCACCGTCTCCTGACTACATTCCTCGAACATCATCTTCTGACTACAATCATTCTAACCTCCGTCGTCTATCGACAATGGTCCTCTAATCTCCATCATCGATTGACTATAATTCTTAAACCACCATTTCTTGACTATAATCCGAAGCCCATTGTCACTTGACTATAATCCTCTAACCACTGTCACCTGACTACAATATATCTGACCTTTGTCATCCATTGACAACGGTCACTCACCGACTACGATCTTTTTGACCTTCGTTGCTCGCTGAGCACAATCCTGTAACGTTTGTCATCTACTAGTAACAGCCCTCTGATAACTATTTCCCAACCACTTACTACCAACCCACAAGCTCTTGGCCAGAGCCACCTGACTACTCTAATACCTACCGATTTCATCACATACCATCACCGATAATGTCAATGCATACTATCACTTATAAGATCAATGGAAGACTATTAACATCAACTATGACTCCCAATTTTAGCATTGGGATTTACGCTGGATTTCTACCATAAGGCTCCTTGAACTTCAATTATGCAATATGTACTTTATTAGTTCCTTTCCTTTAGAAAAAACATCAATTGTTATCGATGGCAAATGCTAGTTTAATCATTTTAATTGGGCTAGGGCTTTTTCATTTTTGAGTTTTCAACATAAAAAAAATTAATGCCTCTTATAATTATTACATCTCATCTCTTATCTATGTATTTGTTGGGCCTTCATACAAAACTAAGACGTTAAACTTTCTATGTCTCTACCGCCACAAATAAACCGGCACACAACAATAACAATAAAAGAGATAGCCATAAAAAAATCCCTGAACTTAACACCAAAGAAACATCAAAATGCTTAAGTATTTTATTTGCACAAATGTTTTAATGCATCTGTCCAACGAATCAGTGAAAAATATATATACAAATTTCAAAAGTTTAATCAGATTCAATTGTAGAGCCAACGATAATGATGTAAATATTATTTAAATTAATAAAAATTATTTAAATGATATAATATTTATAATAATAGCTTGAAAAACGTTGCATTATAAGACCTCCACATTGTAATTTCTACCCAAATAAATTAAATCAGTCCCTATTTAAAAAAAGATTTTGTTTGGGACAATTTTTTTATTATTAAAAAAAAATAATATAAAAATTTTTTGAACTAAAAATTTGTATACTAAAATGTTGCTTTTAAAAATAATAAGAAAATTGCCCAAAGAAAACCTAAGTCTCATCCCTGATTTTCAGGAAAAATTATTCTGTGCGGACACCGGACGGCGTCTGGAGACCAACCAAAACGCGCCGCATCATCCGATACATAGCGGTACCGAGCAACGATACTGAGCAAAAAAATAATGTGGCGTGTTCTGGTTCGTATCCGTACACCATCCGAGCTCAGCGCAGAATAATTTTTCAATTTTCAGGAGTTGAATCTAACAAAAGTGAATTGAGGGCCACTTCACAATATGCCAACCTTCTTATTATTTTCTTTTTCCACCAGCTGAATCTTGCACTAAGCATGGCACCAGATTGTAGCAGTTGCATGAGCAAAATCTTTGCACTGCGAGGCCTCCTGACCATCCAAAACAGATCAGGTTTCCCAGCATCCCTCCAGCCTCACAAACTGACAACCCAATCAAAGCTTCTGTATCTGCAAAAGAACTTGGGAAAGCGACAGCCATGTAACTTGTCCCCATCTGTGAACATCTCTTCTCTCCTTTAACGAGTATCCCAAGCCCAACCTCCTATCATAGGGAAAATTATTAGGTCCGGACAACGGACGTAGAGATACGTTCAGTGTCCAATAAAATATTGACATGTGGAATGTACGTGTCCACAGAATTTTAAGTCAAGCGTCAAAAGCACTGGTAAAGTGTAGGTAAAACACAGTGAAAGCGCAGTAAAAAAGCACAATTAAAGTGCAGCACACGTGACAAATTTTAAGTGGATATCTGAACCTAATAATTTTCTCAATCATAGACCAATAAATGGGTGGATCTCCTTCATTACCACCTTCCTCAATCTATTTCTACTCTTAAATGAAAAAAAAATACCAAAAAAAACACATAAAGGGAACTGATACTCAGCTTTGTAGTTTGTGTGTGGCTCTCTTTTCTTATCCCTTCCCAACTCCACTTCTTAACTTAAGCTTTTGCAATGCCCCCAGCTAACAGAGCTCACTAACATGTCAGAAGAAGAAGAGTCAGTGTTGCCGAAGAAGATGAAGTCGCAGACCATCCAAACTCTTCATGACACAATAGATCGTGAATGGAGTGCGCTTCAGCGCACAGCGTGCCAGACCGCCGCAGGGAGAGCTCTATGGAACCATGTGATCCATGACCCGGTGGCCGACGTCCTCGCCGGCGAGAGCTTCCTCAAAAGCCTCCGAGAAAAGATTAGTAAGGATAAGCTTAACAATGCGCGTGAAGTTTCAGGGGTGATACTCGCTGTCAGGACCCTGTGGTTTGATTCAAAGCTTGAAGCTGCTATCAAATCATTTGGAGAAGGGGAAGCACAGGTTGTTCTTCTAGGTGCAGGTTTGTAAATCCATCATTCTGCCAATAATCATCAAAACCAAGTCTGCATCAAACAGAATGATAATTAAGTAAAAAAAAACTATAAAGGAGAGAAATTCATAGTTCTCTAAGTTGAATCTTCTGAGATCCTTCTAGAAAAAGAATTAAAAGGGAAATAGAACAAGAACATAATCTCAGTTACTGTATTTGGAAATTGAAGTACTAATGAAAATTTCCTAAATCTAGCTTATTTGTGAGAGAGCCTTTTCTCCTGCAGTCTAAGGCTTCGTTTGGGACGGTTTTCTTCTTACTTTCTAAAACAGTTTTCTAGTACAAAAATTTCTTGAATTTGAAATTTTTATACTAAAAAATTGTTTTATAAAGCAATACGAAAGTTGTCCCAAACGAAGCTTAATATAGAACCTAAGCAAGCATTAGTTGCACAAATGCTTAAGACAGGTAATTACTCTGCAGGTATGGATGCAAGAGCCTACAGGCTGAGCTGCCTGAAAGAAAGCAATGTCTTTGAAGTGGACTTTGCAGAGCTATTGCAGATAAAAGCCTCTCTTATGCAGGAAGCAATGGGATCTGCTGAGCAACAGAGAAAGGCGATGGTAGCAAAATCTGTGACCAGTGTGGCTGCTGATATTAGAGATGGAGATTGGCTTGAGAAGCTGCAGGTGTCTGGTTTTGCTCCAGAGAAAAGTACAGTGTGGTTGTTGGAAGGTATACTATATTACCTCCCTCACCTCAATGCAATGGAAGTGCTTCAGACCATTGCAGCCAAAACTTTGCTGACAAAGACGGTTCTTCTTGCGGACTTCATGAATGAATCCTCGGCCTCACTCTCCCTTTCCACTTACCACTTCTATAGCGATTGGCCAGACCAACTGCTGGAAGCTCTGGGCTTTCCCAATATCAAGCTTTCTCAGATCGGCGATCCTGATGCCAATTTTGGCTTGCTTCATGACCCTCAGAATTTGTTCAATAGGCTCAGAAGCTTGCCAAGATCAACAAAGACAAATCCAGAGGATGGTACACCTTGTCGTCGGCTGTATCTCGTAGAAGCTTCAGGGTCCCCTAAACAGAGTATCTAAGGAATAAACCTCCTTGCAGTCAATACGTATAGAAATTAGTAGGAATGTTTCCAAATATTCTAGTAGCAAGCAAGTCTATATAGACCAAGATAGATAACTATATGTTTGACATTGGTAATAAAAGGTTTAAGAAGAAATATCAATATCTTTAAGTGGCTAACGATTCAGCCACCGTTTGAATTTCTTCTAACCAATGTTTACAAGGCAATCAATATTTCAGTTATTCGTTTGAGACAGTTTTGATAGTGCTTTCTACAGCAACTTTTAAGCACAATTTTTTTTTTTTTTCAAATCAATGAAAAAACAGTAATAAAAGATTGCCAGATATAATAAAAGATTGCAGAGTGGATGGTGGCGCAGGTTTGGATTGTGTCCTTGCAGCATGACACCAGAGAGAGTTCAATAGCATTATACCAGAGAACAATGAAGGAATGTAGAACCAGCTCTTCTATTTCTCGTCTTCTGTTTCTTAGGGCAGGTTTGTAAGCCTTCGCGATAAGTTTCTTGCCTAATATCATGTTCAGTTCCACAACAAGGCCCACTTTCTTGTTTTCTTGTCTGTCATGTAAGTTTGAATGTTATTATCAAGTTGATTACTTGCTTATTATGTCAGCTTGCCACATTATACAAACAAAACAAGCTTAGTTGTATTTAGTAGAACAAAGGACGACCTCTTATGACTAAAAGTGATACCATTATTTGGTTTCAAGTTTTGTAGCCAACAAACTATCATTTTGGAATAAAAAATCAACATTCAAAGTTCAAACGCACACTTAAATCTAAGCCCGAGGGGTTGAAAAGGGATAAACATTCAATCTCTGAGCTTTTCAGCTTGAAAGTAGAATGTTCAAAGGGGTTGAGAACATAAATTAAAAATTTCACTCAATATAAGGGCAATAAACAAGAATTGCCATAGTAAGAAGAAAAATATAAAAGGTCAAATACATAAAGCATGACTTTAAAGGATAAACCATCGACCTACATAGGAAAGGAAAACAACAAAGGAGAACAAAGAACTCATTTGGATCACTTCGCTTGAAACTTGGTCAAAATAGAAAAGTGACGATATTTTGTAGAAAGTAGGATGAAATAGGATTTGGATGTTAGTTTGCCACAAGAATATATATCGTTAAGCATTATAGGCTTATATAACTCACATTGCTATTTAATAAATATTTATAGAAAAGCAGCCTATGGATTAAATGGGTGCAAAAGAGACTGTGTATTGCCAAGTAATAGGCATTTATATTATATAGTTGTACACACTATGGTGTGTCTATTGTCATTTTTAAACAAGCAAAACTGATGTCTGGTGGCTCTTGTAAAGGATTGGAATTTAGTTATGAATGAATGATTTTGGTAAATTGTGTTGGGCATGTTTATGTATGTGGAAGTTTTAAAAAAAAATTCTCCTTCTATTTCGGCATTAGTATTCTAAGCTCTCAGGGTTGGTCGAAATAAAATCTGACGAAACACACTTTTACTCTCAAATAATAGCAAAATAAGTAGAAAAACATATAGAAAAGTTGAAGAAGTTGTTGTGCAAATAATCATAGCAAAATTAAATCACACAACACAAACACAATAAACAAGAAATTTACGTGATTTGGCGAAGATGCCTACGCCCATGGAGAGAGGATGATGATTTCACTATATTAGAGAATAATATGGAATTACAATAGCTCTCAAGCTTTCTCTTTTCCTCTCTCACATTCAACAGCAGCCCCGGGGGCTCTATTTATATATTTAATCCAAAGTAAACTAGGAAAAAGCTTTCTAATCTAATCCTAATCAAATCTCAATCAAATTTTTAATTAATGCAATAATTAGATTCCCTAATTAATACATTAATCAAATCTCCAATTAAATCTCAAATAATTCCTTAAAAAGGTAAATGATGAATAAAACTTAAAATAAATATTAATAAGTTCCCACGAAGTCTTCCTCTAATAAGTCTCGAATTGTATAGATAGATATTATGCAACTAAAATTTATATGTCACATGCATGAACCATTTTTAAAAAGGGATCCAAATGATTTTTTAATTAAAACATTATGAATTAACATCTTTAGAGTGGGTTCAACCATACATTATTTTTAATTTAAGGTCTTCTTGAAATGTATTATAACAAATGAATCAATAAGTATGATGATACAATAATAACTTCTTTTAATGATGAGCAATAAATGAAAAACTTGCAGCTCAAACTCATGCCTAAAGACATGTCCAACAATTAGACCGTGGATCCCTTCAGTCCACTACAGGAAATTCATTGAATGCCGATGGAACTTCCGGCGGTCATTTGACAGCTGGAAATACTGGCAGTTCAACCGGCGTTAATTCCAGTGGTCAATTGACCTTCGGAATTTACGCCGTTCTTTGTTTTCATGTCGGCGTTTACCGGCGGTTTAGCCTCCGTTTTAAAGTGAAAATTTTCCGGTAGTGGTCGCAATATTGACTTTCTCAGTAAGATTCTTTTTATAGAATTTTATTTGACACTCGAACATTATTTTCTTTCATTTTTAAGAAAATTTGCCAAATCCCTTAATTTAAATTCATCGATCATGTACCCGACATTATTGGTAGTTTTGCCAAATAAGACTCATATAGATGTTAACTGAATATGTCAAACAAACATAGAGAGATGCAAGAGGCAAATTTGATTCTCTTGCCACTATATACATTTGATACAAACTTAATGATGGATCAGTTATCTAGTCATTTCATCACTATAGGTTGTTGCAAGAAGGTGGTCAAATTCAATCATCTTGGTAAAGAAGACTTCAAATTTATTAGAGATTGAGGGGTATCTCTGTTACGCCTGGACCGGTCCCAGCTGGACCGGTCCGGTTCTACACCCGACGGCCCACGGTCGGGCGGAACCAGGCGGAACGCGCAGGCGGAACGCGCGCGGAGCGGGGCCCAAACAGCGGCTAAAACGCACGGGGGAGGGAAATTTTTTGAATGAGAGGCTGTTTTAGGAAGTCCATTACTGTCCTTTATGATTAATTTGTATAATTAGGAGTTTTGGGGGGATTAGCTGCTCATCTGGAATTTGAATTGTTTTGAGATCTAGGTTTTGGTGTCTTGGGCTCTTGGCTTCGCCGGAGATCTTTTGGAGAGTTTTTCCTTCCTCTCGAATTGAAGGAAAGTTGTATCTTGCAAGTGCTTTTCGTCCGTCATCGAAATAAAAGTGTTTGCAGTGTTTTTTTTTCCTACGTTTTCTCTCAGGTTTTTGTGCAGTTGGCTGTTTTTCTGCTGTGGACAGCAGTTTTTCCTTTGGATCCTCTTGGTTTTGGTGTGAAACACTTGGAAATCCAAGTGTTTCCTATCAATCTCTCATGATAAACAAAACGGTAACATCAAACAATAATGAAAATAGTGCAGAAGCAAAACTCCGGGGATCTCATTAGTTCTGGCATCCTCCACAAAGCTTCCACATGAGTGATGCCCCAACTGTTATGGAAAATGACTAATTCTATGCCCAGCAAGAATATGTCCATTAAATTTTTGAACCATGTACCACATTAGAGGTGCACAAACTTCTCAAAGGAACAATAGAATGGCTTTTCCTGCAATTTGGGACAATTTTCTGGTTACTTTCTAAAACAATTTTTTTAAGTATAAAGTAAAAAAAAATTGCTTTAGAAAGAAGTAAAAAGACTGCCCTGAACAAAGCCTTGACCTGTTAACTCACTAAAATACATCATATTAGAATAATAACTTCACCATTCAGAATACCAAGTGACCTTCAACTGAGTACATAAACAGAATTGAAAGGCTTAGCATGGAACCCCAGGATCGAACCCTTTCATGAATTTATGTACATACTTTTTTTTTTATTTATAATTTATTATTAATTATTATGTACATACATGATTCTATTGAGCCAAGCCACTATAATCAATGTTCTACTTGATCACGTAACTAAAATAAAAGTATGATTATCATTAAAAAATGCAGCACAAAGAAGCAGAGGAGCTGAGACATTACTGGACTTTACCAACTTCCCTCAATCAGGGAAAGCAATCTCTAAAGTGGTAGTTTTACATGAAGAAAACATCAAATCCTAAGCTTCAATACTTGGATGCAAAATCTAAGAAGAAAAAGGATACTGGAGAATGTAGTAAAAAGATTTAAGCATTCAGACGCCTAAACAATCTTTAATACCCTGTTCAAATTTGTCAAGAGCGGAGATTGATTGCATCAGGCCAATTTTCAGCTTTTCCCTGCATTCAGGAAGAAATTCAATGTAAGTGGATTCATCCAATGTCGGTAATCACTATTTCCCATACCAAGGAGCGCGCTCTCTTCAAGAAGAACAAAGTCCACTTGTACAACACAAAATACAAATTAAGAATTTCTATGAAGGAATATCCATTTCATATAAACAACCCAAGGGCTTCAGGTACGCAAAAATATTTCCTATAATCTTGAAGAATTATGAACAATAACATGGCTACATTAACATTCCTCACTCAAAACAACTTTAAATCCAATTGAGATGTTTTTTTCGTACAAGGACTCTAAACTTCTTGACCAGCAATAATTTAATTGGAACAATGTAGCAAATGATCAACATCAATTTATAGGATTGAAAGAATTTATACCTTTTGTCATATGAGTAAACATTATCTCAATTAGAGTAGACTTACATCATGTATCAATATTAAGTCTACATAATTTTATATTATATTGACCAGGGAGGCGCATGTAACAGTTTTTCAAAGTGCAGTATCCTTGCTATCTGCATGTGACATAATTTGGATAGAAGATATCACTTATGTATTAAAATTAACATGGAGAGAATTTTTAAATGATATGAGGTATAAGATTAACAGAAAAAATTAGGAACAAATGTATAATAATAGTAGATGTGAGATAGATAATTATCAGTCATTATTTTTAGATGATCAATTGACATTAATTGTTATAGACTAGTAACTTTGAGCTATCATTCAAATTAATCGAAACACATTGTGGACATTATTATTAGAGTTTAGTTAAGTACTTGTTGAAGATAAAGTACTATAAAATAGACTAATTGTGTTTATAGATGTATGTTGGATAATGTGAAAAGAATATAGAAGAAAAAAAAGTAGAGTAAAAGTTATATAGCTAAAAGTTGTGCAAGCGAATTTATATAGAGTTAGCATATTATGTAGCATTCAACAAGACTAAAATATGAGGACTTGTAAATCTGATTCCAAATAGTTGGTTTAAGTAGTAATGAAAACAAGTCCACTTGAGCTCAAATTGCCCCTTCTTGAGCTTGAGTTGACTCAACTAATTGCGCTGGAGTTGACTTCAACAAATTTGTTTTGTCTCAACTTCTTGTTCAAGAAAAGAAGAAGAGGATAAATCCTAGAGGTTGCCACGATGTAATCATGTAAACAAGAAGAAACTCAAGGACATAATTATAAGAGAGAAAAAGAAGAATAATAATTTTTGGTTCTTTTTTTTTGTAAATTTGTAATTAAAACCTTAAATTAGAATAGTTTTAAGAACATATTATTTAAAATTTCTTTTAAACGAGCTATTTCACAAGCCAACAAGGATATTTTAGGTTGGCTCGGCTTACTTTTTCATTAGATTTGGCTAATGAAACATTTATCAAGTCAAGTTTGTGCCGAATAAACTCAGTTACATCCCTAGGGATAAGGGTAATGATGTTAATTTTGTGAAAGAACTTTTCTTAAACAAAACCATACCTATCCGAAGTGACACTGAGATCACTTGCATCAATGGTACCACCAAGAAATGAAAATGATCTGCATGTACAAAACATTATGAAGATAAATTTAACTATACATTTTCTGATATAAGGAGTTTGAACATGATATAAGGCTATCAAGTGCCAACAAAAAGTACGTGATATAAGGAGTTTGAACATGATGAAATCATTAGTTATTCCTGTAGAACCATTGTCAGCTTTACGTAATAATATATGCGCCTTTCTCACCTCTTCACCTCCACATCTTCAATATTTCAACCAACATTCTTCCAACGATGACCAACATACTACTAAAGTTGTGGTTTTCCTAATTGGCTTGGAACGGTTCCAACGTTAAAAAATTCACTATAAGAATTTGAAATGCAAAGGAAAAAAAATATGATATCAAATGACCATTCTGTGAACCTTATGAGATTGTCAAGTCTAGTCTCTGCCTCTAACTTCAACGGATCCCCATCATCAAGTAGCGATGCAGCATTCTTTACAATCAATGTAAAGGTACAAACCTACAAGACCATGAAACTTTCAGATTTTAACCTTCCTTCTTGAACTTTTTTTTTTTTTTTTTAAAGTTAAATGAGAATTTGACTCTTATAGGGCACAATGGAGAAAAAGTATTCATGTAGCCAACCCCACTTAGTGGGATAAAGGCTTGTTTTTGTCGTCATCTTGAAAGCTGACAGGTTTCTAACACCAGTAATGTGGAAAAAACACTGTTTTCAGCTAAAGTTATAGTTCAATCTATCTGACGGTCTTCCCGAGAGAAAGCCAACCTCCACTCCCGTACTGGCTTGAAATGCTACAAAAGAATTCCTATACTGAGGGACACAATCCCTAGCGACAGAATTCAGCAGCTTCCGGAGCTCCCCAGCATCCTCTACCGGTGATTTCAAATCTGCCATGCATAATAAATTCATGAAATTCAAGGCAGTAAGTCTACGCGTGGTTTGAAGGAATTACAAGAAATGAACTGAAAATTTAATAATAATTAAAATGATGAAGAGATTGAATTGAAACTTTTTTTCCCACACCTGCTTGGCTGAAAAGAATACGAGTGAATGACATATTTTCTTTCTTTTTTTGGGTTTTTTGTTTTTTCTTTTGAGGGATCGTACAAGTTATGCGATTGCCTAATAATTTTTTCTTCTCATTTTTCATTAGGAAGAGACATGAAATTGTAACTGGAAAAATGTATTTGTTTGCATTTCATAAGTAAATGCCATTTCCTATAAGACCTCATTTGGTTCATTGGTTGCCTAAAGTTACAAAACATATTTTTGAAAATAATAAAATTTGCTCAATCGATTATTTGGTTGAGTTTAGTTAGATATCATCATTGAAGCTATATGCTTCACAAAACCCTCTAAAAAACTCTTCAAATGCAATGATTCAATTTCATCATAAAATGAGTACAAATGAATTCATCATTTTCTGAAGATTGTTTTAAATCCACAAGCAACAAACAAATCTTGTTAGGATTGTAAAAATAATAATAATAAATAAATAATAATCTTGTTAGGATTGTAAAAATCTCTATATATCTTATAAAGCACAACACTTGGTGTAAAGCGCACATCTCAAAGCAACTCAAATAAGCTAAACTAGCACCCAATTTTGCTTATATATATATATATATATATATATATATGAGATCAAATAAGCTAAAAAGATGGAAAACTACTGCCAACATGACCACCTCATAGCAATAATTCCAACAAATCCAAAAACATCCAAATCCACGCACAAAAAAAATGCATGAAGTAGTTGGTCCAAGCCTCTTCCTCCACCATAGAAGGAGGAGTTCGAGCAGCAGCAGCCAATGGTCGGCCTACAAAAATGCTCTTACAACTAGATACATAATGGTGGTGTCTAACCGTGACAACGAGTGCAAATTATATTGCAGTTCTTCCAAAGATGTTTTTACCGCCTGTAGTTCTTGCTACTTCCACATACCTCCATTTTGAGATTCATTTATGGCTAACTATAGCTATAGAGGATGAACATTTTGACCAAAAAAAAGGCTAGATATCACCAACAATCTACAATGACTACTAAATTTGTTCCACAGACATTCTCAAATGTATTCTAATCAATCTGATGGTCAGAATTTCAATTCTTCAACTATGTTGGAATTATGGTGCCAATATATTCAAAATGATTAGTTTGGTTCAATGATCAGAGACATCATCAATGATAAATGTTTTAGGACCACTGATGCCAACCCCTAACTCAGGTTGGTCGATCAGGCTAACTCAAGGAAAGGTTTAATCAAATCAATTCTCATTGAAGAGAGGGATCAATAGAGATCCCGATCAAGTATGCTCGTTGTTAATAAGAATAAGGAATATTCTTATATATTTTGAATAAGGATCGTTACATCTCTTTCAAATTTTATAAATAGATCCCATAAATGCTTTTTTCAAACATTCTAAACTCTTAGATCATAAGAGAATTTTGGAACTTTAACGGTGACCTTATGTTCCTTTTTATCACCTCTTCTATTCAGAATATGAACTTTCTCCACCTCTAGAAGGAGAACCGCGTTCCGTTTCAAATGATGACTACCCTAATTGCCCTCAACCACCTCTGCCATCACCTTTAGGTGTTGGCATATATACTAACACAAGAACAATCATCCTACTTTCCCTCAATTACCATCACCCCACCAGCTTTAAGTCTTGTCTCTCTATCTCCAAAAAGGAGATTTATCATGACTGCCCTCAATGAGCTCATTGGTTTACTTGTTTTACCTTCAATTCATGTTGTCTCCTCCTCAAAAGAAAAATTGCCTTAACTACAACCCTCAATCACCTCAATAATTTTGTTTTAACACCTTCAGGACGTACCCCCTTCACATCCTAGAAGAGGGCGAATTATTGCGTCCGGTCACCTAACATGTGGACAGCCAATCCAGAGACGCCACCTCACCCAGATGCACTGGGCCCCGGTATTTTTGAGTGAGGTGGCGTGTTTTTATTGGTGTCCGGACGAATCCAAACACCGGACACAATAATTTGCCAAGAGGGAGAATTATTGCGTCCGGTCACCTTCACCTCCTAGAAGAGAGCCTCCCCACCTATCCTCCGTAGTTTTCCGACCTAATCTCTTGGCGCCATCTCATCTATTGCCCTAAAGTTGTTTTGCCTCCGCCTCCAGGAGGAGAACCATTACAGGCATCCTTAGTGATTTAGGATAGTAGCCACAGTCAACTTTCACTTGGTTCTCGCTTAAAAAAGATTGTCCCACCCTGCATCCCTCCCTCTCCCGACTACATATTTAGCAAGCAACAAGTCTTATTTACATTGGAATCAAGCAGCCAATTAGGTACATAATTGTTAATTGAAAAGCATTTGCATACTTCAAATTCCTTCAACGTAAACAGCCTCTAAAATTAACGACGCACAAGAGAGGCAAAGAAAGAGCGCTAGGTACCAAACACCCGATATGCATTGCGGAGACTCTCGCGAGAGGCGTCGATGGGAGCCAGGACGAACCTTGCCGCCTTCTTCTTCTGATCTCGGAGCCATTCCTTCGGTCCAGCTACAAATAATTCCAAAAATCCATGAGCACAACTGCCTGAATCGAAGCAAGTAAGAGCATAACAGAGACAAAAAAGACTCACTAATGCCAATTGAGAAAGCGGCTGCCCGGACGGGTATAGAGAGCAATGCTGCGACGGCCGGAAGGGAGAGGAAAAGAAGTGCGGTTCGGCGAGACCCTTCCAGGCAATTATGGTTTGGATCGGGTAGCTCCGGTGGTCGGCGACTAGCGATACGGTTTTGCTGCGGCGGCCGCGGCCGCGTCCGCGAAGGGTGGGTGGATGTGGGCGGATGGGTGCAGGCGCTTCGAACAGTGATGGATCCCAGCAGTACTCCCATGGAGGTCTTGACCGTGTTGTGGGTGAGTGGTGGAGCGCGCGAGCCAACGGACAAGGTTGGGAATTTTTACTTTACAACCCACAAAACAGTGTAAATTAGATACTGCACTTTTTCTATATAAAAAAAAAAAGTAGCATTACTTCTTAGAATCTAAAACCCATGCAATGAGAGTTCAACTTCAATTTACCACTCAAAAAATATATATTTTTAAATCATCTTTCAATAACATTTATTTTCATCTAAATAATCTATAATTGAATATTATTTGAATTATCTTCAAGCAAGAATTGAGCAATATTCAAATCATCTTTGCACAAGATCAAAACTTCTTCAACCTTCATCGATCATAACCAAATCATCTTTGAAAAAAAGGGTTGAAGGTCCATTCATGAATAAAAAATGGTCTACTCAAGCATTGAAGTTGATTAGCTGATCATATCCAACATGATTAAAACATCGTCGAACATGATTTGGCAGTGATATAATATGGCTCAATCATTATCAAAGGTGGTTTGAAGAAAAAAAAAAGGTGGTTTGAAGATATTTTTCATGTATCACTTATGTTAAGATCAACTCATTTGAATTATCATATATGTATATAGATGTATGTTATAATTTGAGAGGTATTGGAATTTGGGCTACATATAAAATGGAGTTGTTATAAATTATTTGGATAAAAAATTTGAGACTAATCATTACTTTGGTTGTGAGATTAAATAGTCCTCATCTCCATTAGATTAATGACATGTAATGTCTATATGAAATTTATTACATGCATGAAAAATTATGTGAGAGCGCTGTTGAGCTGTGCTTATGAGCACAATAATGCTATCCTCTCTGTGAAACCCCAAAATTTTTATAAGAAAATTTAGGGGTTTCATAATATGAAAAAATTAGGGAAGCTATAACACAACATTATAAATGTTATGGCGAAGATGGGTTATGATTTGGACTTACTATTATTGCAGAAATAAATATTGAATGTTATAAGTCAAAATTTCTTATAAGAAAATTTAGGGGTTTCACAATCTACCAACCTTAAAAAAAAAAATGTCGTCCTCAACATTCTCAAAGCAGAATGAGTCATAATAAACCTGGATATGACTGCCTCAAAGTCTCTAAGACACTCCTTAGATGTCTGGCATGATTTTCCTCGGAAGTAGAATATACCAAAATTTCATCTATGAAAATAATCACAAACTGATCCAGATAATTTTTGAATACTCTATTCATCAGATCCATAAAGACAATTGGTGCATTAGTCACCCTAAATGGCATGACCAAAAAATCATAGTGTCCATAACGAGTACTGAAAGCTGCTTTCATCACATCAGCCTCCCACCCTACATAAGACAATGAGCAGCTTAGGATCTGCTTTAGATATCGGCCCCAATTCATTAAAATAACTACAGATAACAGAGCTATTAAAATATCAAAATATTGAAAATAAACTCATCCACCAAGTTTCATTTATTTCATCAAAATAAAATTCTACACTACATTACATGACTATATGCAAGACTACCAAATTTAAAATTTAACTAGTCATAACTATATAAAAATCAAAATAATAAAATATCTATGACCTCAGATCTGAGTCTGAGCTGCTAGTTCATAACCTCTTTCTCCTTCCCATATCCTGAAAATTAGAAGCAAAACCACAGTGAGTTATAACAGTTAAGCAAGCCACACAAATCAATCTAAATTTTTAAATATTTTTTTATCAAATATTTTACTGAATATTTAAAAGCAATTAAATACAATTTAAATAAATCACTAAGCTGAGAATCATTAAACTAGAAAATATAATAAATGCATAACAGTTATTCTCTGATTTAAATAACAATATGAAAAAATAAATAATTTAAAATTCATATCACATAATAGTTCATATCACATGTCCCGGACCCAAATAACATCTCAAAGGATTTTGGCCCCTTATGACTTTATTTATTTTTTTTGTTTATAGCACAAGAATTATCACATATATTTGTCTCAAATAAAATCTTAAAGGATTCTGACTCCTTATAACTCCCAATAATTCTCTAACACAAAATTCATATCACATAATAGTTCATATCACATGTCCCGGACCCAAATAACATCTCAAAGGATTTTGGCCCCTTATGACTTTATTTATTTTTTTTGTTTATAGCACAAGAATTATCACATATATTTGTCTCAAATAAAATCTTAAAGGATTCTGACTCCTTATAACTCCCAATAATTCTCTAACACAAGATTCTAGCCTCTAATGGCTACATATATATATATATATATAAAATCTAATACCTCTACTCTCCTAACCGGGTCATCGAAAGGCCGTCGTTTTATGTGGCCAAACCATCTAAGGTGACTCTCTTTAATGTTATCTTCTACTGGAGCTACTCCAACCTTTTCACGTATATGCTCATTTTGTATCCTATCTCTAAGGGTAAAGCCACTCATCCACCTGAGCATCCTCATCTCTGTCACACTTAACTTAGTATTATGCTTCTCTTTTAATGGCCAACATTCGGCACCATAAAGCATTGCAGGCCTCACTATCATCTTATAGAATTTTCCCTTAAGTTTGAGGGGTACATTTCTATCACATAACAAGTCCGATGCATTCCTCCACTTCAACCATCCAACTTGAATTCTGTTGATAATATCCCCATCTATTTCACCATCACTCTGAACAATAGATCCAAGATATCTAAAACGTGTACTCTTATTAATGACTTGATCGCCCAAAGTCACAATCCCCTCACTAGGTCTATTACTACTAAAATTACACTCCATATATTCCGTTTTTGATCTACTCAAGTGAAAACCTTTAGACTCTAAGGTTGACCTCCATAATTCAAGTTTACTTTCAACTCCCTCTCTAGTCTTATCAACAAGAAGAATATCATCAGCAAAAAGCATACACCAAGGTACATCCTCTTGCAAATGTCTAGTGAGAACATCCATGACTAAAGTAAAAAGATATGGGCTTAAGGCTGATCCTTGATGTAACCCAACCGAAATAGGGAAATACTTGGTCAATCCACCTTGTGTTTGAACACAAGTAATAGCTCCTGCATACATATCTTTAATGATTTGAATATAAGCATTATTGACTCCTTTCTTTTCAAGAACTCTCCATAGCACTTCTCTTGGAACTTTATCATATGCTTTTTCTAAATCAATAAATATCATATGTAGATCCTCCTTATTTTCTCTATATTTCTCCATCAAACCTCTTAATAAATGTATGGCTTCCATAGTCGACCTACCCGGCATGAATCCAAATTGATTTTGAGAAACATTAGTATCACGCCGCAACCTATGCTCCAAAACTCGCTCCCATAGTTTTAAAGTATGACACATTAACTTAATACCTCTATAATTCGCACAATCTTGTACATCACCTTTATTCTTAAAAATATGAATTAACACACTCATTCTCCACTCATCTAGCATCTTCTTAGTCTTCAAAATAGTATTAAAAAGTTTTGTAAGCCATGAAATTCCTTCATCTCCTAAGCATTTCCACACCTCTATTGGAATATCATCAGGTCCAACAGCTTTTCCACCCTTCATTTTTTTTAAAGCCTATCTAACTTCAATTTTACTAATACGCCGATAAAAACATAAATCTTTATTTTCATCTAGGATGCTAAGGTCACTATAGTCAATCTTATTTTCACAATCTTCATTAAAAAGTTTAGCAAAATATCTCATCCATCTTTGTTGAATATCATCTTCTAAGAAAAGTATTTTTTGATCTTCATCTTTAATACACTTCACTTGAACTAAATCCTTACTACTCCTATCTCTTTGTTTGGCTAACTTATACATATATCTTTCTCCCTCTTTAATATATAATCTATTATATAAATCACTAAAAGCTAATGTCTTTGCATCGCATATTGCTTTCTTAGCATCCTTACGAGCCACTTTACATATTTCCCATTTACGAGCATCCTTACTATTTTTCAACATCAAGATAAATTTCTATTAAATAAAACTCCTACAAATTTCAAAACCCCCATAGTAAAATTTCCAACAAATATTCAAAATGTGCATAATCGTAGTAGTCTCTATAATATACAAAAAGTTAAGCGATGAAAGTTTTACCTATGCAAAATTATCCAAGTTTTTTGCTAACGAATATAAAAATTTAATTAAAAAAATTGCTAAGACTTATGCATTTTTGAAAACTGAGATGGACATAATGTGTCTTACCTGAAGACGAATAAGTTTCATAACTGGATTGATGGGCGAAAATGGCCCGAACTTGTCCAAAATCAAATTTTGATTTTCTCTCTCCTCTCTTTTCTTCCCTAATTCCTCCCCAAGCTCTCTGTTATGCATCCCTCGTGTTAAATGACTTTTTATTTTATAATAATGCATTAGTTGATTAGGATATTATTAAAGTAATTTAGTAATTTTTAGGGATTTCATACTTTCTATATTTTGAGTTTTGACTATGAGAGCAATACGACGTTGGAGTAAGGTCAATGTCTTTGACGAACAAATTTGAATCCAACAAAGATATCATTATACAAAAAATTATATTAAGATATTAATAAACCAAACAATCATATTGTTTGCTCATAACCAATAAGAAATAAGCATAAAGAAAGTACAAAAAAGTGTAGCATGAAAATATATAATGTTAAGAATTCAATCAGCATGTGTGTAGTTGCATACCTCACCAAAATCTACATGGAATATATATGGTATACCTTTCTCCAAAGAGCAAAAAGCATTTATAAAAAAAAAATTCATTGCAAAAAAAAAAATAAAGCTCTTTATAAATTTTACATGTTTTGATAGGCGTGAAACTTGAATCTAATATTAAGAATAATTATAAAATATAAATAATATAATTAAGTTCATGAAAAAAAGCAATAGTACATGAAAATTTTGACACTGTTGCGTCCTAGAATATTCGCGGCGGTAGAGAAATATAAAATGTAACGTCATAGCTTTGTATGAAGATCCAGAACACAAGCAGAAAAGAGAGGGTGTAGCGTTCATAAGAGACACTAGAGTTTTTATGTGAAAACCCCTGAAAAAGGGAAAAAATCACGGGGCCTTAACCAATTTGAATGAATCCACTAGTATTTACGGTTGATTACAAATGAGGCTCTTCCTTGGGAGAAGGTCTTGGCTTGAATGCACAAATATACATAATATAGACTATAGTCGGTAGGAGATCGGGGTCAGAAAGACCGTTGTCTTGCGAGGAAGGTCGGAAGGACCGTGTAGGAGGACGGTACTCCAACAAAACTCTGGGCGTCAGGGGGTAGTTCGGGAGAAGTTTGGGCCTCAATTGGTGGTCCGACCACACTCCGGTGTCAAGTGGTGGTCTGCCAGTGGCAATTCAGCGTCAAAGGGGAACTCCGGCTTCGGGTGACACTTTGACTCCTTGGATGGTCTGGTGGTGGTTTGATAGAAACTGGCGATGTTGTATTAGAGCTCCGATGTCCCTTGGTGGTGCGGCAGAACTTTGACGGTGGTGTGACAGAACCCCGACGTCCCTTGGTGGTGCGACGGCGGTGCGGTAGAACTCCGGTGTCCCTTGGTGGTCCGACGGTGGTGTGGCAGAACCCTGACGTCCCTTGGTGGTCTGGCGGTGGTGCGGGAGAACTTCGACAGTGGTGCGACAGAACCCCAATATCCCTTGGTGGTCCGGTGGTGGTGTGGCAGAACCCCCGTATCCCTTGGTGGTCTGGCGGTGGTACGGCAGAACTTCGACGGTGGTGCGGCAGAACCCCGACGTCCCTTGGTGGTCCGGCGGTGGTGCGATAGAACCCCGGCATCCCTTGGTGGTCCAGCGGTGGTCGAGGAGGAGCTAGGTGGCTGGAGCTTTCCTCCTTCTTCTCTCTTGCCTTCCTCCTTTTCATGTGGAAATGGGGTTCTATTTATAGAATTATTGAGTGGCATGGCTTGTAAATAAGTGGAAGATCAAGGGTAAATTTGGAGTGGTTCGGATGGACGGCCAATCTTGATTCCTACGATCATGAACCGTTCAATGGATATTTGACTGTCTTAATGATATTAGAATTTGATGATATTGGGCTCGTTGGATTCGTCTCGTTGAGCCGCTTGATTCGACTATAAGCATGTCATGATTGGAGATCGTTTGGTAACCCAAATTGTGGTTAGATTCTTCCAAAAGTGCTTCGAGTCTTTGATTTGGACTCAATTGGGCTCGGATTGGGTTGATTTTGGCGTCGTTGGGTTCGTGTTTCTGAGACGCTCAGTTTGACTGTAAGTTTGCTGAAATTGATATGATTTTGCTTTGAGATTCGTGCCAGATCAAGATAAATTTTTGATGATGTATCAGACATCAACTAATATACTTCATATTCATTAATTGCATCAGAACAACATTCAGCTATTTCAATGGTAAAAGGTTATCATTCTTTATATAGAGATTGAAAAGTAAATTACTTTTTGAAATGAGAAAAAATAAAGAATACTCATAACAATTTCAAAAAAAATTATTTTTCTCACAACAACTTTCTAATCATTTTTGCTGATAGGTATTATTGAATATACATGATTTTAATTTTTTAATATATTTAAAAAAGATAGAACTATTATGAAATATTAAAAACATATATATATATATATATCAATTGATAGAATAAATATTTTAAAAAATACGTATTAAAATTATAAATTCATAATGACGAAAATACCCAATCCAAAGGTAAGCATGAAATCACTGTATTTTTTTTTTTCCGCTATAAATGTCCACACGCCCATCGGTACCATCCCCCCGCGCCTAAATGGAACCCCTAAAGCCGTTATTCCGTTTATCGTTCACTTCTTCAGCCATCCCGCGCTCGCTCCACTGCTGTGGCGCACTCTAGCACTCCACCAGAATTCCAATCAGAGGCTGCCACGTGGAAGAGCACATGGGACTGCGGAACATTCGCATCGAGCCGGATGCCATCTTACCCACTGCAGCCTCCGTTTTGCTGTCCGCTTCGTGCTCTGATAACGAGGGAGATACGAAGAGCAAGTGAAGCCACTGGCGGCCGCGGACCCGATTCCTATTCTTCTTCTTCTTCTTCTTCGGCGCCCTTCGGATGCCTATTTAAACCCCCGACGATGCGGATTCAGAGGAAACCCTTCGTTGCCTTTCGTCTCTCAGCTTTCTCAATTCTCGCCGATTCTCGCGTTTCGGTCGGGGGAAATCTCTTCTCTCGAAGAGGTTTACAGTTCGTGATTTATTTTTTACTCCGTTTTCTCGGTTTTGGTTCTTGATTTAGCTGTTGGGGAGTTTTGGGTTTCGGGGTTTTGAATCGCCGGTTTTTGGTAGGATACAGAGGGTCGGCTTGCCAGAAGGAGATGGAGGAGTGCGGAATGGAGGGGAATAAGAAGGCGAAAATCTGGTCGTTACCTGGAAAGGACAAGGAGTTTAAGATGGGAAGGATGATATTCTGCAACCGATCGCTGAATATGAAGAATATTGTGGCCGTGGGGTTTGACATGGACTATACACTGGCGCAGTACAAGCCGGAAACATTCGAGGCGTTGGCGTATGAAGGGACCGTGAGGAATCTGGTGACGAATTTGCAGTATCCCGTTGAGGTCTGTGTACGACTAATTCTTTTAATACTTTTTGTTTTGTTTGTTTTGTGTTTTGGTGCGGAAGTTGCGTTTTCCACAATGGAGCTGGTTATTCTAGTGATTGTAAGATGTTTCGGCATGATTTTGGAAGGAATCAGGTGGAGTACCGGTGTCCAGTAATTTCCAACTGTAAGGATTTCGATGGTTCGTTTGCTTTTGACTTTGTTTGACTAATTCTGTCGCCCCGAGACTTTAGGACCTTACTGGTTTAAAATTTAGGGTTCACAATGCTGCTGTTTTATTTCTTTATTTTAAGGTTGTTTCATTTAAAATTAATGCTTCTCATACCACGCTCCCTCAACCCACTCAATCCCGTGTTCGACTGTGATTGTATTAAAATTCGAGGTTGGTCAACAATCTTAGTCGATGAAAACTGAAAGTGACTGGACTGTTTTAGTCTTGATCACTAAGGTTCTTGGTTGACTAAGATTTTCAGTACAATCATGGTGGGCCACATGCTTATGTGGGCTTTGGGCATGCAGGTCTGATGGGCATCGCTCTTTATTTAAACATGTGATGACGAACAAGAGTATACTCTTGAATTTTTAATTTCTACTGATTACCTTAATCTGGCTGGTAGAATTTCAAATTTTATTGTCATATGCTTCTCCACTTTGCAGATAAAGAAATGGAAATTCGATTGTAAGTACATGGTTAGGGGTTTGGTCCTTGATAAGAGGCGAGGCAACATACTGAAGGTAAGTAATTGCCACTTTTCCTAGTTCTTTTGCTGATGCTGGTGTATTGGTTTTATAAAGTATGCATCATCTAGAGAACATTGACAGTTCATTTCCGTTGTTTGTAATATTTTTTGAAATTAATATTTTAATCCACTCTATTTCTGTTTCAATTCTCACTTAACTGATATAAAAAGAGCTTGTGAACATCTATTGTTTAAAAAGGGTAAAAAATGAAGGGTTGGGGTGACGGTGGGTTGGGTTGTCAGTTAGTGTCAATTGATGGTTTTGTCTTTGTATCCTTGGCTTAAGGTTGGTTGACATAGCTTTGGCATAACTACAGATGCATAGTATGATGTCAAGCTATCAATTTTTTAATATGAACTCAGTAGAATCATGCAATGTGATTATGGGATTAACATTACAAACAAATCTTAGCGAGTTATATGCATTCTTTGCAACTGGTGGAATCCTGGATAAGATAATTGTACTGTTGTGGAGAAAATGAATTTAAGAAGCATGTAGATTGGCACAGAAGTGGTCATCAGGCCATATCAAATCAACCCATAGCTGGGTCAACATATAATAGAGAGATGTACAATATTATGCTGTCATTATACTTATGAACGCAGAATTATCATGTAAATTTTGTGGGGAAGCAAACAATCTATGACAAAAATAAAATTCTATAAATGATGGATGGTACGAAAATAAATGAAATTCAATCATCAATTGGTCATCAATAAGATTTTGATGTCAAAGTTGTAACAAATCACAATTAGAGTTAAAAGAAACATGGATGATTAAATTTTATGAACTTAAACGAAATCAGGAATATAAATCTGAATCAGTCACAAGTCAAATCAATCTCTAAAGAAAGTATTGGAGAGGAGAAGAAGAACTAAGAGGAAATCAGCATAAACATTTGTATTTCGAATGTCATGTATAATTTGGATTAACAGGTTTTCTACCTGTTTTCCTAATGGTATGTAACTTGTTTGTGTATTGATTACTTCCATAGCATAATAATGTTTCACTAGTGCTTCTAACTTTTTGAATGACTGAAGCATAAAAATTTTTTTATTCTCCAGATGGATCGACATAAATATGTTAAAGTAGCATATCATGGTTTCAAGGAAATGTCCAAGGAAGAGAAGATTAAAGCTTATGGAAAAACATTGATACGAGATGCATTTGATGAACCTGAATATGCTTTGATAGATACACTTTTCTCTCTTGCTGAAGCGTATCTTTTTGCACAGCTTGTTGACTTTAAAGATAAATATCCAGGAAAATTTCCTCCCGAAACTGAGTATGCGCTTCTGATTTAGAATGTCTACACTTTCTACTGATTATTGATTGAGACATGATTTAGTTTTTACACATTTAAATGCTGCATCATTCGCCTTCTTAAATAATTTTACCATTCTTTTAAAGTATAACCGTTGATTATTTTCCTGAAGTATTTTTGAAAGAGTTGCGGTTAGGTTTCCCCTGCACAATTCATGTTTATTTATTCATCTCTCTGTAATATTGTGATTCAAAAGCCTTGCATGCTGAACAAATAACTGTCATCTTTTTATAAATACAAGCAAAGATGATTGCGACTTGTGAGTTATGACCTAGTAAATATAATCATATTGTAGTTATGGATATGATGATAAAATAAATCATAAATGAGTATAACACATTGATAATACTCTATTTATAAAATATAGGGCATTCCTAATATAAATATATCTTTGTATGTATGCTAATATATAAATCTATCTTTAAATGTGCATGTAGAGTGTTGCTTGGATGTATGCTCACGTAGGAGCATTAAGTTGGTTGCAAACCTTGCGAGATTATACTTTTTGCGGTTTTTCATTTTTTGTGTAGGTATTTTGTGACATCTATGTAGTGGATCTATATTAATTCATTTGTATCCAAACATTTACAATTTACTGGCTTGCATACATGTTAATCATTGGGTTTATCAAGATGCTAAGCTTGTGAAAAATGGAATGGTTAATGATAACCTTTTTGGCATTCTGTTTTTTCCTTTGCCATATTTTGGAGTTTCAACATCAAAATTTTCTGTCATTTACATCATAATAATTTTAAAATGTGGAGAAAATTGAGTGCTACCTCTGTAACAGGCAGTGTTTGTGAAGGCTGCGACACTATTCATATATATTATCTCATCATTATTCTGAAAAAAAATAGGTTTTTAAAATTGAGTTAATGTGGGATGGTTAATATCATATTCCAATTTGATATGTCATAAAAAATCGTCTTGATCAAGCACGAATCTTGAGGCAAAATTGAATTGTAAGCTTCCAAAATTAAAAATGGGATAATTTGAACTCCGATTTAAGCAAACTTATAGTCGAATTGATCATCTCAAAAATACGAACCCAACGACACCAAGTTCGACTAAATCTAAGCTCAAATGAGTCCAAATCAAAGACATGAAGCGCTTTTGGAAGGTTCAAACTACAATTTGGATTACCAATCAGCTTTCAAATGTGACATGCTTATAGTCGAATCGAGCGGATCGACGAGACGAATCCAAAGAGCCTAAGATCATCAAATTCTGACCTTCGTCGGACCACCGCCCGGCCGCCGATCCGCCGTCGACGACCACGGCCAGACTTCAGCCCGACCTTCGTCAGACCACCGCCCGGCCACCGATTCGTCGCCTGACCTTCTCTCGACTGACAATCACCGCCGGACTTTAGCCCGACCTTCGTTGGACCACCGCCCGGCCGCCGATCCGCCGTCGGACCTTCTCTTGGCCAACGACCACCGCTGGACTTCAGCCCGACCTTCGTCGAACCACCGCCCGGCCGCCGATTCACCTCCGGACCTTCTCCGGTCTGACGACCACCGCCGGACTTCAGCCCGACCTTCGTCGAACCATCGCTCAGCTGCTGACCGCCACCGAACTTCTGCCCAACCTTCGTCGGATCTCCATGGATCGCCTCTGAACTTCCACCTAGCAGCTGAGTGACGTTGTACATTCACCCAACATTTCTCAGATCATTCCTACTCGACTGAACTTTTGCCTGGACGCCGTCGGACTGCTACCCGACAGTTGTCAGACCTTGGTCTAACTCTCCAAACTAATGTAATTTGATTGCTCCTAAATCAAGAGACGGGTCAATATTTATAATTCACTCAAATTTAGTGGAATATTTTCACCTCGGCGAGGCCTCATGGTTTCTTCCTCTTTGGGCTTTCCACGTAAAAAATATTGGATGTTTTACATCTATTTTTCTGTTTGTATGCTGGATATCTGTGCATTACTAAGACGAGAAATTTACTCACTCTACCGCCACGAATATCCTAGCCCGCAACAATACCCAATCAGGTCATTCTTCCATACCAAAAAATGACCCTGTACAAAACAAGAGCAAATCTCCAAAATCCTGCAAAAAAAGGCTTGCAAGGATAATGGTAATAACAAATAATAGAAACATAATAGTAACAATTTATATTGGAAAACAAATTAAAAAGAAATACAACCCACTGATGAAATTATAATAATGCAGATGAACATCTTGAAGGGGCATAAGGATACAGAATGCATTTCAACCATGCTTATACATAGCCTTGATAAACCACCTTAAGCCATAGAAACTAGAACAATATAAGCCCACCAAACCTGAATACATCAACCCACACAACCAAGTAATGACAAAGTTCATACCCAAATTAAATATTACTTCAAATTATAACTTCTCATATTTATTGAATTATTTATCTTGGAATTTGATTTTAATTTAATATTTAAAATGGTTCATGATTATTATGATTATTTATTTTATTATGGCAATTGTCCATGCATCAACATGGAAAATATTGTGTCCACTTTCATGCCACCCAACAACATACCATAAAGTCAGTCATTGCTAGTCCTCAAGAAGGGTCAGAGCTATCATAACACTAGCATAAGTATTTGGTCTTGATTATTTTAAGTAAATAAAATTATCTGGAGATGAAATCTTATTTATATCATCATGATGACGAATTAATAACTTATAGGCTCAAGTAGTTTCCCTTATCATGTGCAAGCCAAAAGAAGGGTACATTTTCATACTACTTGAGAACATTCATTTACTTTGGTCGCTAATGGTCCTAAAGGAGGACCAAAGCTATCATAGCACTAGCAAAAGAATCCAATATTGATTACCACGGATAAACAAAAGTACCGAGAGATTGTCTTATTTTTATTTTCAATCATGATGCATGTGGTTGTATTGGATCCATAACCATACTGATGGCTAATTGATGTGAAAGAAAGTCGAACAATGTTAGTCAAGTTCTAGAATTGAAATAAAATCTATTGTCCATGGGGATGCTTGATGATGGATGTTATGTATTCAAAGGTGAAAATAATGTGCTGAAGGTTTTCTGAGGTTCAATTGCTTACATAAAGGTGATCAAAGTAAATGATATGTATGTACTTAAGGGAGTGATAGTGGTAGAGAAAGCAACTATTGTTCAAAATCACAGTACTAAATAAAAAAGGGTTTGATATAATTGATTGGCACATGTGGGTTAAAGTGGCCTATAAGAATTAATTAAACAATGGCTCTTGAATGACGATCGACTATAGATTTTGGAATTCTTATGAGTATTGTGTTTTCAAGAAGGCTTGTAGATCAAGTTTCAAAATTAGAGAGCATAACACCAAAAGAATTCTAGAATACTTACATTCAAATATTTAGAAACCATCTAGAGTGGCTTCCACAAGTGGCAATAGGGATTTTCTTCCCGTTATTGATCATTACCTAGATAAGGTCTAGATTTTTATCTTGAATGCAAAAGCAAGACATTAAAAAAATTTATGAAATGGGTTGCGTTAATGGAAAACCAAATTAGAAAGAAGATTAAGAAACTATGAACATATAATGGTCAATAGTTTTGTGATGGTAATTTTCATAGTTCTTGTGCTTGCAAAGTGTCATCCCACACTTCCTTAATTATGCACATTTGACTTCTAGCTTGGCACAATTCGCGTCGTGGAACAGAAATAATTACCTCTCAAGCTTCGAATGCTTCAGGAAAATAACCCACCTGAACTATGGTTGATAAAATTTTAGTAGCTTCACTTTGCTATTCGACATCTCCTCCATCTTCCTTAGCTAAGAGTTTTAGCTCTTTATACTGCTTTCTTTCCCTGAAGCCTTTGAATGCTGACTGAATAACCATTGCAGCTTTCTCTTGGCTTGATAAGTTGAGTTTCATCTTCTCTTCTTCTTTGGTGATTTGATTTAACCATCCTTCAGTTTGGCTTAGCATGGAGACTTCTTCATTTCTTGATACTTTTGCTATTGACTGCATAATAGCTGCTTTAGTACTTCTAAGAGAAGAAAAGTCATCTTTTGTAAGTAATTTCAAGCTTGAATGCTGCTTTAACTCTTATAGAAATAGAAAGATTTGGAGGAAACGGTCCCGTAGAAACAAGAAATAGACTATTTAGTGATTGCATGTGTTGAGTGTAGTGATGGAATCGGAGGGTTTAGGAAATATGAAGCAGTGAACGGGACTTTGAAGGAGGAAGATTGGAAGTTCATGGCTGGAGTGAAGGTTTGAACGGATGGGAGTTTAAGATGTGGAGCTCAAGGCTAGGAGGTGGTGTGGAGATCTCAGCTTGTAGAGGTGGATCAGCATGGAGCAGGGGATCGGCTTCAACTCTATGGAATCAGAAGCAGGTGTCATGGGAGAAAGAGGAAGGACCTGCTGTAGTCGGCATCGAACAGAGCTTGAGGGAGAGCCAGACATTCGTTTGCTTGTTGCTGTGGAGTTCCGGCAAGGGTAGAGGCGCAACTGCAGGTGGTAAGGTCGGAACAGAGGAGTCATCGTAGGAGGATTTGAATAAGGGGCTGTTCGGCCAGGGTTTTGGCTCAAGTGGATGGAGGGTTGGGTGTTTCGTCAGACTCAGCAACCTGGGTTGAAGAGGGAAGCCGTGAGGTTGATCTGAAGGATGGGTGTGAGGCTACATGCAGTTTAGAGAACTTCTGATCATGACGAACTGCAGGAGGCGGACAAGGACTCCTTTGCTGTTATGCGTTTGACGGGAGGGAGCCAAGCATAACGTAGTGTGGAGGTTCGGTTTTGATATAGAAGCAGTTAGGAGATCGGTTGGAAGGGGCTGTTGCTTCGGCTGAGCTCATCCGTCCGGGAGAAGATTCAGAGAGCAGCACTTGAACGAACGAGCTCTCCTTTTTTTCATTCGTTATAAGAGGTTTAATTCATTATTCAAGGTAATAGCAGCATCTGAGGTTTTCACTCAACGGGATTTATGGGATTCTGCAGAGATTC